TCTCATAACAGTTAACGTAACTAATTCAAAGCTTAAATTAATTTAAAATACAAAACAGGGCCACCAGACAGCGATGTAGTGGTAAAACGTGATGGTTTGCAATGTCGACCCACGTGGAAAAGTTCTTCTCTGAAGACTTTTCTGAGATCTGAGTATATAGGGCATGTACACGCCCATGATCAGGGACGGTTGAAGATGGAGATAAACACCACTGGGGGAGCTATCTGTCTGTCTCTTCTCTCTTCTCTCTCTCTGTCTATCTTTCTCTGTCTCTCCCTGTCTCTCTCAGGCATGGAAGAAATAAATAAATAAGTGAAATTGCAAGACAAAACAGTCTATAAATAGTTCTACATGTTTTCTAAAACCATCATCTAAAATAGTAAAATTACTCTTTTAATGCAGTAATTTCAGATGATGACAGACTACTTTGAACAATCTCAAAGCATTATTAAAGACCTTGAGGTCTCCAAGACCAGCAGATGGCGTAATGGTTACATCACTGGACCCCCCATGTAGTCAACTATGGTTTGAGTCCCGGACCCAGTTGCTTAAAACTCATGTTGGGCGCGTGTACAAGCATGCCCAAGATCTCCAGAGGAGAATGGAGGAGAAGGGATTGCGGCATGACCATCCCCCTGGGGAAGGGGGGTGATTTCTCACTTTCTGTCTGTTTCTTTCTCTGTATTCCGGCGAGTGCACATGCCCTATAGCAAAAATCTCTCTTAAAAAAAAAAAAAAACTTGAGGTCTTCAACCTCATTCTGATAGCAAAGAAAGGCATTTCTCCCACAAAGCATAACGGACAAAAATGCACAAATTCTTCCAGCCAGACACAATCCATAAACTGAACACAGCACCCACCAGCCACTCAGGCAAGGACTGAAAACTCTTTACCTCTCTGAGTTCCAACAGGAGACCAGAGTCTACATCCTTTATGAAGGAAAACTCTCCCCAAACATTCACAATAATTTCCCAATCTAATTAATTTGCTTCTCAACCCATTAAAGCTTCATCATGCCCAACAATAACTTAGAAATTTTACTTCTGTGCTTCGGACAGATTCCTGGGCTAGACATCCATGGACTGTAATTCCAAAATAACTCCATTCCTCATACATTAAAATAAATAAATCAGCAAAAAGTAAAAAAACAAAACAAACAAACAAACAAAAAAACCCTAGCACCTCTTCTTTACCTACTTTCCTCTCTTTCTTCCTTCCTTCTTTTCTTCCTTCATTCTTCCTTCCTTCCCAAGAATCACAACCAAGGAACTACAGACTGTAAAGCTCTTCAGAAATTACAGGCTACGATCTCCTCATTTAAAATATGCAAGTATTGGGACCAGCAGGTGGTGTGGTGGTTAAGGCTCTGGACACTCCCACTTGGCAAACCACGGTTTGAGTCCTGGACCTGGTGGCTTGCTTTCTCACTTTCCCTCTCTCTCACTTTCTATGTCTCTCTCTCTGGCCAAATTAAAATAAATGAATAAATAAATAAAATTAAATAATTCCTAAAAAAAATATATGCAAGCATTGGGAGGGAACCCCCTCACCCCCATGGAGCAAAGTTAAAGGTAGAGGTCAATTGAGAACTCTCAGATCTCTGGCTCCAGCCCCTTCTTCTATACCATCCTGATTCCCAGGATCAGTAAGAAAATCTCTATCATCACAGAACCTTCCAAACAGAAACATTATGTGTCATGGATTGCTATAACTCATGTTAATATTCTGTGATGCCTTTCAAGTTTAACCACAACAAAGATCGACCAGGTACAGTTGCAGAATTTACAATGATATTAGCTCTCTGAGACAGAAAACCACACAAACAAGAATCCTTGTTCAAAAAATAGATTCTACTATTCCCTCTGGAACAACTGCCGCCTCTGGTTACAAAGCAATAATTATCCTGTCCTACAGCAATCAATAAAACCTCTTGCCCCATGAACCTGCTATTTCCTGACTTTGTTCTCTGTACTAAAGATTTCCAAGTCGTATTGATTACCTACTAAATTTTTTTAAGTTCTTTAAAAATCAGCGCGGAAGAAATCCTCAAATTAGCATAACCTGTTATTGTTTGGACAGACTTCAAACCTTTCCGTCATATTAATGGTTTCTCTTTTTCCAGGATTTTCTCATTTTTCATTTTGAACTTGTCATTTTAAGTGTGTCTGTGTCTTGCCTAATAGAACAAGTCACTGGGATACAAATGTGATAGTGTTTCTGAGACTGAGACCGCTGCCACATTCTTCTTCCAAGAGAGAAAGAATTGATTAATAAACTATGCCCTCTTTCTCTCAAGCAACAGCCTGGATTTTTACCAAATGAACCCATTAGCCCCCAGAGTGTTAAAATTTAGAACCCTGGAACTTCTCTCTAAAACTAGTCACTAGAGAAGCTGTTATCAAGTGAAACCCTCTTACATCCTTTCCAAGGGCATCTAGCTACTCAAGTGTCAAACTTTAAGAGTGAGCCATAAATGTGATCATGAAAATGCTAGCAAAAAGAACAGCGATGTGGCGGGGCTGTAAACAAGAGTCGGGCCTGGCTGTCCTTCTCTGTTACCCCCGTTAGGCTCCTCTACTCTCGGTGTCCCAGAGTGTGGACACATCCCCTAGGATTAACACATATCAGTCTGTCCCTTACTGTGTTGTATGTTTTGAGAAGGGACCGCTCTAATTCTCTAACTAGAACTGATATTTTCTCACTATCCCATCAGTAGAACTGAGACTGATTTATTTTTTTCATAGATCCAAAATCATATAAAAAATGAATAATTTTACATTGTACGTTCTCACCTCAGTGGTGGTTTTAATTCTAAAAATGTAGTTTATGACCAGTTTAGGCTAGGTAATCACTAAGTGAAAATAGGCATTACCAAAAGCACTATAGTTTACTGATTAGCCCAAAACTTGTTTCCTTACCTGCAATTTGCTTATGTAGAATGGGAATGGGAGTTAAAAATAAAGTCAGACCCATTAACACCGATTCTCCAAAAGTCAACTGAAAAGCACCTTCAAAAGACAGACCAGAAACAAACGCTCACACCTTTAGATAGAATGATACAGACAGTAGTACTAACTCAAAATGCAAAGAAGAAATGTTAAGGGGAGCAAAGGCACTCCTTGTCTTGTTAACAGCAATGATCCTTTGGTCTGCTACACAAGCAGCACTGTAACTCTTCAGTGGATCATCAATTACCCAGTCAACCTTTAAGGAAAGCTCATGAAGCACTGGGCTACATAGGCAAGTCAGCTCATACCATGGAACTTGCTGTCCAGGAGATAAAATGGGCAAAGAACCACAAAACAGCGATGTTAGTACAGCGATGACCAAGGGATGGGGGGAAAGGGAAATGGGGAATAACAATGAGGATGATAAAAAATATCCTGGAATTAGGTAGTGGTAATGGTTGCACAACCTTGTGAGTATATTCAAAATCAGTAAACTGTACACTTTAAAGAGATAGTTTATAATACGTGAATTATATCTCAATTTTTTAAAAAAATCAGTGGGGGTGGGGTGGGGAAATATAGTTGCACTCATTGGATAGCACTAAGGGCCCACACACCCATGTGAGCACAGACAGGATCTGACCTGACACGTCTGCACAGACAGGGGCCATCTCGGGTGAAAGATGAAGTGATAGAGAAGCTGACAGCTGGAAGAGGAAGAAGGAAGAAAAGAAATTCCAGGCACAGGAGAGAGCAGATGCAGAAACCCAAAACAGGAAGGAAAGAAAGAAGGCCCTTCTTTCTTCTGAGACAATAAAGGGTCAAGATGTCAGCTAAGGCCAAGGCAATGGAGTCAATCCTAACAAATGTCAAATCAGTACAACTCTTAAACTCCAGTCATGTTTTATGACCTCCCCATAGCAGGCTCTCAATAACGTGTACCAAAGGGTAGTACAAAACCACAGACCATTCCTACCAATCAAAATAAACAATACATTGTACCCTAAAGAAGAACAATTGTAATATTCTGAAAGGCTAAGGCAATTGCTAATACCACAGACATAATCAACCTGAAGATTTTTTTTCTCGGGTACTTTACATGTTGCTTCAAAATAGAAAGAGGCAGCTCCTACAAGGGAGATATTACACACACTTGAGAGGTGGCACCAAGAGCCTTCAAGTACCATCGCTGCCCTCATCATAAGATGAAACTAAAAAATGTGCTGAGACTGAAATGCAGTTGTTTGGTTAAACTCGTTTTTTTCACCTTCAGGACCAGACAGTTTTCGTTAATGTCTTTGTAATAATATGCAGCCCATTCTTTTAGAGCAGGGTCATTACTGGCAGGTAGGGCCTGATATTTCTTAGTTAGGGGTCTTCCTGCACATTGCAGGAGGTTTAGTCTCTTCTCACTAGGTTGTAGAAACATTCTCCCCAGGGCTCCCACCAAGAATGCTTCCAGACATTGGCAGATGGCCCCGTGGGGGTGAAACTGCCCCATTAGAGAACCATTGCTTTGAAGTAACTAAACTGTTTTTGTCTATATGAGCTATGACCATTCCCTTGAGAGTGATTCATTTCTCCTCATCTATTTGGTTTCCTACATGCTTTGCACTGGGACTGTCTCCCCACAAAACAGATTAAAACTTATTAGAGAAGCCTGTTTAAGAGGTTTCTTAGTACTGTTCAAAGGCCAGTTTAGGTAAAGCAGAAAAAAAAAAAAGAAAAGGAAAACAAGACCTTAATTCCTGGCATCCCTTCAGCCTTCCTTTCTGACCCCAGAAAAACAAACTCAGGATCAGCCTCCAGTGCATCCATGGCCATGGTGGCCTCAACTGTCAGGACCAGCTCAGCCATCTGAAAATGCACCCATTTCCCCTCACCTCAGTGCCACTCAACAAATGAAGCCCAAGAAGCCGTTTTTAAAAAGCCAGAAGACCTGCCCACCCAATCCCCTTGGGGATTCTCTACAAGGCTCTCTGCCACTACAGCAGCCCCAGGTACCAGGAAGAAGGAGTGTCTGTCAATGAAGCCTTGGAACTGCAGGCTCACCATCCGGGGGCATCAACACCTTGTTGTTCTGCGTGCACCATCCCACAGGGTGCAGATCTGCTATGACAACGTCGCACCAGAAGTCAGCCCTGCGGTCCTCCCCGTAACCACAGTAGCGCAGAAGCAGGAGCTGCCCGCAGGTGGTGATGATTGTTGCCACCCAGTACGTGTCAGGGTTGTTCTTATTAGCCACTTCCAATTTCATTCCCGGCTGGAAGTTGCTCTGAATGCTGATTTCAACCTTAAGGAAATCAGAAACACAGGAGCCACTGTTAGACTAGACACACAAACCCAAAGATTACACAAACTACCAAAAAAGTAGGACACTTAAAAAACAATATTTTTGTTACCCTAGAACAATATAGAACAATATAGAATATGTGAGGGGATATCTAAAAGTTTGTGGAAGACCAGCCCCATGGATTAGTGGTTAAGGGAACCATATCCCAAATGGCTAACCACTGGTTCAAATCCCAACCTAGAACCTTAAGAAACATGCAGGGCACATTCGCATGTGTGCCCCAAATCCTGACAGGATGAAGAAATAGAGGAGGAAGGATTACAGTGTGGCCCTGACCATTGGGGAGTGCTTTCTCTCTCCCCCAACTCTGCCTCTCTCTAATGAATGCATGTACCTTCTGGAAAATGAATGCATGTACCTTGTAGAAAATGGATTTAAAGTACAAGCTTATTTTAGTACGAAAAAAATTTTTGAAATAGACACATAGTTTGTTCACAAAATACATCTTGCATGAATTTTCTGAAGACCCCTCACATTTGTCTAGAAAAAAATACAACGTGAGCTACAGACATAAAGTTAAATTTTCTAGAAACCACATTGAGGAGGGAGAGATATAGCAGATAAAGCTCATTTTAACAACATATTTTATTGAACCCAATATATCCAAAATATTGTCATCTCAACATGTAGTCAACATAAAAAGCACTAACGAAATATTCAACATTCTTAGAATGCAGCTTTCAAAGTCTAGTATGTTTTCTACATTTAGAGCGCATCTCAATTTGGACTACACACTTTTCAAGGGCTCAAGAGTTCCATGTAAACAGCACCACTCTGGAGAATGAATTTTTTTCTTTATGCTTTTTAATTAAGGGTTATAAGGGTTGTACTCTATTGGTATCTACCAGCCCTACCCACCTCTCCAACAAAAAGTTTTCTAGCCTGGTGGATCATATCCAAAGTTGACATATCAGCTGTCCATAAACAATAGTTGCTTACAGGAGATCATAGAATTATAAATCACTCATCCACAGATCCAATACTACTTTTCCCTTAAACCTGGCACACAGGCCTGTGGAAATTCTGCATGGCCCTGCAGGACACACCATTATACCTAACAAGGAGGTATAATTGACTGAGTCAAGGAGAACAAGAGTGACTCTGTACAGAAAGTGAAGTACAGAAAGGTAAGTTGTCAGTTCATATCTTTTTCTTAAACTGCCTTACAGAAATGACCGAATCACCCAACATCATAAGCTGTGCATGTGACACTGGTTTTTCCAAGACCATGTCTATGCTGTTTGTCAGGAAAGTTTTAGTTTTGCTGTGTTTTAATGTTTAGCCCTTGGTTTTGTTAAACAGCCATGATCATATTAATAATAAACTAGCAATTATAAAATGATGAGAGAGAAATGGGAATGCAAGCTACCTTTACTAGGCCTTACAAATTTACATTCCTTTCCAAAAGAACACTTCACCTCAAAAAAAAAGAATAAAATCCTTAACTAAAATAAAGAGTCCAGGGCCTAGTGCTGGTGTAGTGGTAACACAACTGGACCACCATGGGAAAGGTTCTGGGTTTGCATCCTAGGACCTGCCTGAGCACAACAGGTACATAATCAAGGCTGCATGAGATTGTGGATGAATCCTGACATGGGGGCCCTCTTGGACATGTGTCTCTTTCTCTCTTTCTCTCCCTCTTTCTGTATCTCATGTAATAAATAAATCAATTTAAAAAAAAAGAATTAAGAATTAATGTGCTGGCTTTCTAATTCAGCTTAGGATCTATGAGGAAGTATAGGATAAGAAAGTGCCTCAATTTGCTTATGATACTCAAGCTGAGCTGCTATCCTTGGGTACCCTAGTAGAAAAATATATATATATTTCTCTAAAAACTGTTAAGTTAAATTTTCAGTTCCATTCAAACAATGGTAATACCTAAGACCTTGAGCCCTACAAATTTAGTATTTTCCTTGCTGATGATAAACTACCAATGGCTCACACCTAAACAAGAACCTGATACAAACTCAATTTTTAAAAATATTTTCTGGGCTTCCCCTCTGGTGGGTAGGCTATATGCATTATTCAAAGAAATATTGTTGATGAGAATGGATTTTAGTTTGGACCCAAATGTTTTTAGAATATATATGGTCATCTTCCCTAGTTTTGTTCATCTGGCCACAATGACTATAAACTTTTATACATCCTTTCAAAATCAAAATAGTAATTGAAAATGAAAATACATGGTCCTTCCACCTCCTAAGAAGAGATTACACACCATACCTACTTGCCGAGTCTACTGGCTTTCTACTTTTTCCAAACAACTTTACCCGTGACCTGTCTCTTTTGCCGCTACTCATGAAAATCAAGCTAACTTCCACATCTCTGTTCCTAAGAAATCATGGCCGAATTTCCTTCTTTTCTTTTCACCCCCTTCTTCTGATCAGTTCTTTAGCTTCTCCCTATAGATGTTTTTTTTTTTCCTTCCTACCCTTTAAACACAGATCTGAGGAACCGAGCTGTTTCACGTACATGTTTGAATGATGTATGAGGAGCTGCACTGGCACCCGTTTCTTCCAAATATTCTCCCCAGTTAAAGCCAATTTCCTCCAGGCTTGAACCTTCCTCTGTCAAAGAAAACAAACATATATATATATATTAATACTAGAGTGAGGAATGAAAAGGCATTGGCCTTCCACTGAGACCAGGAAATCCTAAATGCAAGAGACAAACCAATTCAATGGTTGAGGACACTGCTGAGGTCTTCGCAGAGCTTGTTTGCTGATTTAAAAGATGTTGAGTGATAAAAAGACACAGTAGAGAAATTCTGCTTTAACTACCCTGACAAAGGTGAGAGTAACATTAGGTGATTTCAAGTAAACAAAACAAGACTTGTTTCGAGGCATATGAGAGTACTTCAAAAAGCTCATGGGAAAACAAAATTAAAGTACAAGTTTATTTCAGTGCAAAACTTTTTGAAATCCATGTATCATTTTTACATAATGTATACTTTGCATGAACTTTTGAAAGCCCCCTTATTTGCTGCATGTTACACCATTCATTTGAAATTGACTGCAGTAGACACCCCAGCCTTTGAGAAGCTTGGAGGCCAAGACGAACTCAACCAGTAGGCACTACTTTAGTGCTGTATGTATACCAACCACCAGCACCATCTAGTCATTGGCTATTTAGTGTAACTGGAGTTTATCAAATAATATCCTAGACTGTCAGTGCCAGGGACTCATGACAGCATCAGCTCCAATATCATTCTAAGACGGAAAAAACGGAGACCCGGGAACCAGCAGTTAGCGTAATGGTTATGTCGCTGGACTCCCATGTAGTCGACCGCGGTTCATGTCCCGGACCCGGTGGCTTAAAACTCACGCCGGGCGCGTGTGCATGCGTGCCCAAGATCCCGAGAGGAGAATGGAGGAGAAGGGATTGCGGCGTGACCATCCCCCCTGGGGGTGATTTCTCGCTTTCTGTCTCTATGTCTCTGTCTGTCTGGCGAATGCACACGCCCTATAGTGAAAAACCTCTCCAAAAAAAAAAAAAAAAAAAATGGAGGCCCAGGATTACTCAAGTGTCTGAGGTCACCCAGCATATTATCAACTGAAATAGATCAGTTGCCAGACACCCCAAGGATACCTGCCCAGTCCAGGATCCTCAACTTCTATCTTTTAAAAGGACTGGGTTCTCAGGGAAAGACTAATGGGACATGTATTCTTCTGATCACAAAGAACAAGGAGAAATACAATCAAATGTATAACATGGCTCCTAAAATTGTTAACAGTTTTAAATCTGCACAGAACCACCCACCAAGGTTCTAAAGGAAATAAACCACTTCCCCAAACAGTTAAGCCTATAAGCAATTTATCATTTATATAATTAAAAAGTACCAAATAACACACTTTGAGATAGAGATAGCATAAATATTATGTCATTGTTTCCACTTGAGGTAACTATTAAACTGTAAGCACAATTTTAACCTACATGCAAGGCTATCATAAGGAAAGAACATACAGTTAGAGGAGCTGTTCAAATAGGCAAACATGAACTTTATAGTTTAAATCCTTTTCTCTTACAGTAATGTTCAGACGGAGCTGGATGGTGGTGCAGCAATAATACATAATGCTCTGTGAGGCTGACTCACGTGGGAAGGTTCTGGGTTCATGCCTGGAGACCTCCCTGAGTATGCCAAAGTCATGAGTATGCCAAGGCTGAGGGTGAGTCACATTGTCAAGACCCTGTTGAAGGTGCTCTCTGTCTCTTTCTCTCTCTTTCTCTGTATCTGTCCTTCTCATTCACATAAGAAATAGTAAACTTACACACACAAACACACACACACACACACACACACACACACAAAA